CGGTCGACCGGTGGAGAACGCCAGTTCGTGAAAACTTGTGGAAATCAGTTCAAAAACCTGCAAATCCAGTCCCAATTCACAAAATCTCAAGGGACAACCACTAGATCTGGGTTCTAGGTACTAAAACAAGTCCAAAGAACCTAAGATCTCCAATTTCTACTCTAGTTTTACTCAAAATCATCAAAATTTGTTTTGAACCAAAAATAAGTTTTGAAATCCGAAAAACATAGATTCAAGAGAGGTTCTTTCAGTAATCTTACCTCGAATCCTTCTCTTGATGTTGAAAACTCTTTGAAATCACTCTTGGTTCGAATCCGGTTTTGATTTGAGACACAAATGGGAGAGAGAGAGGGAGAGAGAGCACGGAAGTGTGAGAGAGAGAGAGAGAGAGAGAAATGCACGGGAAAGAAAAAGAAAAGGAAGGAAAAGAAAGGAAAAAGAAAAAGAAAAGAAAAGAAAAATAAAGGAAAGTGACATGTGTAAAATATAACAGTCCAGAAATGCGCCCATACACACTTCTGGATTAAATAAATTACTGTGAATAATTTAAATACTTTGGAATTATTTAAACTCAATTAATTAAATCAGATTAGGCACACTAATAATCTCAATTACCTTAATTAATCTCAATTAATTCTTCAGGGTGTTACAGTTACATCTGTAACAAGATTTATAAATCATAATCTTACAGACATATGGTAGCATATCAAATATAATAATTACTATTTACTAGTAACCCACCCAACCTCCCCCCACCCAAACCCAACCAAAAAAAAAACAGAACAAAAACAAAATATAAAAGAAAAATCATGCTTGAGAAGCAGAGACGTATACAAAATATAAATTTATGTAATAGAAAATCACGCTTAAGAAGCAGAGACGCAAACTAACATGTAGTTGTTGATGCCATATAACGATGACAAATTGTAATTTAAGAAAGACTTAACAAACATTTAAAAACAGGACATACCGCTAAATTCTTTCGCAAATACCGCATCATATCTTCGTAATATTCACTTTCTTTACATATCTTGCAAGCAAAGCAAGTGTTCCATTGGAGTCTTTTCTTTATGCAATGTTCGACTATCCTGCAGCATGGAATAAGCATAGGGCAGATGTGAGACATATCACGCTGAAGAAACAAATTTTTAAGTCGTATACATCTATAGATGTATTTAACTAATTAAGTTACTTAACACTTCATCAAACCTCAAGGGAAATATAAACTAATCCATCCGGTCATTCTCTATATCCACATCCGGGATATGTCACTATTAAGCATGGAATAAGCATAGGGCAGATGTGAGACATATCACGCTGAAGAAACAAATTTTTAAGTCGTATACATCTATAGATGTATTTAACTAATTAAGTTACTTAACACTTCATCAAACCTCAAGGGAAATATAAACTAATCCATCCGGTCATTCTCTATATCCACATCCGGGATATGTCACTATAAGCTTTCTTAAATACCTCTTTGGCTGATCCCCAAAGAAACCCCATAAATCAATGTTTCCAAAACGACACTGGACAACATGAAAAAACTAACAAACCGAGTTCGCTGCTTGAATGATTGGCTTCACAAAGATTGTTTGAAGTTCAAAATCTACTCCAATTGCTCAACTTAGAAATGAAACTCGCCAAGAAATGAAAAATGAATCATGAATCATGAATCGAGAGACAATCAAAACACAAACAAATTAATTAACCAGAAAAGGAAGAGAAACAAAAGCAAAAGCTGATCCAAACCTTCCATGTAAACCGAACACAGCTTGAAAACCTCACAATCACCTTTACCTGGATTCAGAACAACAAATTTAAATTAAACAATAGAGTACAAAGGAACGAGCTTTTTTGCCAAACAAATACCTTTACAGTGAAATCATAGAGACTCTTCTCCATGGCTGCTCTTGTGTAAATACTCGAAGAACGAGACTTTATGAAAAATCTAAGAAGAACATATGATTGTAAAGAGAACCCATTACGGCAAAGGGCCAATTTGGAGGATCCAAGTGGGGATTTGGTAAATGGGATCGAGAAAGCCATGGATGGCATAAAGTAGAATGGACAGGGGAAATACCTGAAACGGAGCTGCGGCCTTGCAAGAAATCTGACTTCCCAAAGGCCGAATCTGAAGGATAGAAGAAGAAGGAGGAGCAGGGGGTCACTTTTGAGAGAAAGTGAGGGTCACCGTGAAAAGAAGGAGCAGCGGTGGAGAGAAAAGAAGGAGCAGCGGTAGAGAGAAGAAGCCCTAGCTTCACTTCGGCGTAGAACAAAAAAATGAAGAAGAAAGGAGCGTGGAGTGAAAAAATGAAGAAAATGAGCGTGGAGAAACAAGGTGGGAATATGGCTCCTCGGGAAGGTAGCAGAGCAAACAAAAGGAAAATAATTCAAAGCGGGAATTTGAAATTTTGGAGAGGCGGGGGGTGTTGTGGGGGAAGTAATATTCAGTACTGCTAAATTAAATTTTAATATATTTATATATATATATATATATAAATTTATAAAACATTACTCTTGAAAATTTCATGAAATTATAATATATATATATAACATAGCAATTTTAAAACGCTATTATATATTAGCAAATAATATTTTTATAGCGTTTTTTTAAAAACGCTATAATTAACCGCTATAAAAAGCCTATTTTCTTGTAGTGTAAGGATTATTTACAAGGATTGTCTTGACAAACTATTTCAAAGTGTCCTTTGATTTTTCAAAACAATTCAAAACCCCCATGATATATAGAAAATGGCAACTAGCGTTGCAACCACCTATTATTTGATATGGATTTATGCTAAAACTGATACTATATGACAGAAATTTTGGTTCACTTCGGTGTTGAAGATGTCAACTGGTGATACTCTGTTGGTGATGGGAACGAGAAACTAATCTTGGGGTTCCTGGAACCATTTCTGGCTCACCTTAAATTAGCAAAAAAAATAGATTTTCAAATAGGATATTTCATTACTCTTCATCCCTAGGCCTCAGATGCCTTTTGTTGTCTGGGAAAATATGGGTGACATGTAGAATAGCGACAGCGTGACACATGGCCCTATTTTTCCTCAAAAGGCGACAACCCTCGACGCTTGAAGCTCGCTTCCTCTCTACGCTGCAAAGAAAGGCCCGACTTAGGGCATCGACCCGGCATACCGTCGACCAGTCGTGCCGTCGATCTTATGGCAACAATTCCTATGTCTAGAAAGGATCGACTGCCACGAAAGACATGAGGTCTACGCAGCGCAGACGATGAGGGGAATACTCTTCAGAAAGGAGCCTGACATCACAAATTGCGTCTAGGGATGAAAGATGTCTGCGGTACAAGCATTAATTGCAATCCCCTAAACCGCCCTACAGTGGGCAGTGAAGGATTACAGGAATCCACAGAGTCGTAATGGAAGACCAATTGGCTAAGTGAACAGTTCAAAATGTGATTAGTGGGCTACGGTCTGGACCTAGAAAAGTAGGCCACTCAAGTACATCTATCTACAAAGGAGAACCGCCCACGAAAGAACCTTGAGCTATAAAAGGGGCAAAACCCCATACACGAAAGAGGATTTGGCTTCTTTAGTATTGAATCAAAGGAAGAATATACATGCATGTAAATTGTAAGAATCCAAAAAGAAATACAATACACAAGTGGATGTAGCTCTTCATTAACAGAGTGAACCACTATAAAATTCGTGTGTCCTCTCATTCAAGCATTATTCTCATGCTTCCAAAAATACAACAAACACTTCATAGCCTAATTTTAAATATACAGTTAATTTCCAGCCGGTAACCCAACGGGATACCAGTGGGTAACCCGGCGTATTTCTGTTGACGAAATTTAGCCATCAACAATTGGCGACTCCACTGAGGATCGAAGCCAGAATCTCTGGTTCATACGTTTGACCCCCAACAACAACATAGTTAGCAAACATGCCTCCAAGAAGAAGAATTGAGGCCATCAACCAAGGCAACCAGATGGATGAAGCTGCCACACATCCGGGGAACGAGGGGATGGAAGAAGACCCACCTCCGGTTAGGAATGGAGTCCCACCCCTAGACGTGCCGCGACCGGACCCTGTGCAGATGCAGGCCCAACTCACTACTCTGACCAACCTGGTGCGGGGACTGATGACTGTCGTTGAGCGCTTGGATGGAAGAAACTCAATGCCCCCTCTAAAGGACGCCCCGAGACCGCTAGAAGCTGCTGCGGCTGGAAACCAGAACCCCGGTGACCACCAAGATATCCCAAAAGGAGTCAAGGACAGTGAAAATCTTAGAGATCCCAGGCCTCGACCTTCCCAATTCTCCGGCAGTTATCTAAGGGCCGCCGGACCCCGGGCTCATGAGAACCAAATAGCCAGAGGCCTGGGAAACCCCGAAGCACCACCTCAGAACCCAGGTGGAAACCTTCCAGGAGATGCAGGGTCGCTACAAGTGGGCGGACGAGTAAGGGGCGGACCCAACGCACAAAAGGCAGAAGCTTCGAAAGGAACCAACTCAACCATCTCAACGGAAGAGGCACGAGCCATTATGGAGCGCATGGCCAGCCTAGAGCAAAAGTTCACAGGCGATGTCGCCGGCCTAAAGAAAAATATAGGGCGAGTGGCTGAGGTGGTGAACGTCGACATCACACCTAGCCGGACGCACGACCACCCGTTTACTGCGGAAATTATGGCGCCACCTCTCCCCGATAAATACAGGTCACCGTCGATCCCACCGTATAACAACAGAGGGGATCCCGACGATCACCTAGAAATGTACACAGCGCACATGCTCTTGCATGGATATGCCGAGTAGATCATGTGCCGAGCCTTCCGAAACCATCTAACGGACTCTGCCCGGAGATAGTTTCGAACGCTAAACCCAAACTCTATCTTAAGCTGGGATAAGTTGAAGGAAGCATTTTTCCTCCAGTTTATGGAAGTGAAAAAATGTCCCTCCAAAACAGAATTTGACAACAATATACCAGAAGCCAAACGAGTCATTAAAAGAGTGGCTCGCAAGGT